TTTTTATTCGTATAAAATGTAATTCCATTTTCAAACTGAAGTATGACTCGCCAACAATATACATATAATTTACTTGCTTTTATCACATTGATCCTATTTTTCTAGAAATATATGTAGAACACCCAAATTATTTCCAACAATTAGTTTGAGAAAGTTATTAATTACAGACTATTAGTTTTTTTTATAATACTAAAATGTAATTTTTATCGTACAAGTTCTTCTTCGCAATGTACGTAATATCATCTACACTCCCGGCTATATATTTCATAACGAATCGCTGTTCAATTAGTCCCACGCCGAATCGATTTAATACCAGCTCGTCTGCCGAGGCGAACTCTTACGAATTAAGCCGCGACAAACTGTTATCAGTCTTCTTCACTGTGCTGGTGATACTCCATGGAGGGGCGACGAAGCGATAGCGCGACCATATATAAGCCTGGTACATTCGTCACTGCCATCAGTTTAATATTCCCTCACGTTTCGTTTCGCTGGGCTAGCGTTTGCACGACATTCTGGTTACGTCGAGCTTTCATCTCGAGCACTCGAGCGAAGATAATTAAAAAAAAAAAGAGTACGGTAAATAGCGATAATCTTCCAGCGTGCTATAAAGGAGCCAACCAAGACGACGCGCCACTACAGCTCAATCTCGGCGAAGATTCAGCTTTGACAGCGATTTTTACGTCTTCTTCCTCTTCCTCTTCGACGCATCGCTTCCACCGTCAGTAAACGCGGCAAGCAATACGCGGCGACTCAGGGAAGATGGGATTCTCTTAGCATCGATCGAGCCGTTCCTGCGACTAACATCGATTAAGTCGTTTGCTGTACTCTGAATAAAAGTCATATCGGACTTTCAGCCATTTGTTAAAAGAACTCGGTCAAAATAACAAGCGCGAAGACTGTCTCCGAAAGTGCGACGGCAGTGTCTTATGATTGGTTCGCCGCGATCGTCCAGCCTAGTTATGTTCTCGATCAAGTACAGCAAGCAATTTCTGAGCTACCGTATACTCAAGTCCAACCGGTTCAAATATATCTGACGATACGGACTCGGACTACGTCGTAGAGGGTGCGCGCAAGGTGGTGTGTGTGTATTGTACTACGGGCGACTTGTCGGTACCTACGGAGCTCAGGAAGGCAGAGAGACGAGGATAGCCCCCCGGCAAGACCTGGAAAGTCTTGTGTCAGAGTCCAATGGCCGAATCGGCTTGCACGGCGACGCGAGCTTGAGCAAGTACGGCGACGACGTGACGGAAAACCGGCGTCATCGAAAATCGCTAGTAAGGCGAATTTTTCGAGGGCAAGGGGCACACGGAGAACTTGGGAGAAAAAAAAGATTGTTGCGAAACGAAACGGAATTGGTAATGATAATTGATGATTTCGTCGTCGAGGAGATTTCTAACCAGAAATAAAGTATTACAAATTTTGGAATAAGCTTGCTAGGCAAGCGATACGGCGGAGAAAGTCCAATTGATAACGACGAATTATTTTATTGACGAAAAAAAAGTCTTAAGCGCGCGCGAGAGAGAATTGAAATTGACGATCAGGAACTAAAATTTGTTCAAACCCTGAAAGGCAGCCGTTGGCAGCTAATGATTTTGTTGTTGAGGAAATTTTTTCAAGCAGGAAAATAAATTGAATATCAATCATTAGCGAGTCGAAACATTTCTGAGGAGACTCCCTCTGAGGGACGGATTTATTTAGAATAACGACATTGCTCGAGGATAATGCGTTTGTATGTCAGCTTGTGAGAGATCATTAGAGTTGAAGATCGAGCGGCAGGATCGGAGTTGAGTGAGAGAGCGGAAAGCGAAATCACTCGGAAAT